CAGGTAAACTCCAGGTAAACAGGGAGGCAACAACGAGTCATGGTACCTGATGAAGTATCACAGTGGGCGCCTGTGACGAGCGGGGTTCCACAGGGGTCAGTCCTAGGATCAGTGCTATTTTTGGTATATGTGAATAATATGACGGAAAGGATAGACTCAGAAGTGTCCCTGTTTGCAGATGATGTGAAGATAATGAGGAGAATTAAATCAGATGAGGACCAAGCAGGACTACAAAAAGACCTGGACAGGCTGGAAGCTTTATCCAGCAACTGGCTTCTCAAATTTAACCCCGCCAAATGCAAAGTCATGAAGATCGGGGAAGGGCAAAGAATACCGCAGACAGAGTATATGCTAGGTGGCCATAGACTACAAACCTCACTCAAGGAAAAGGATCTTGGGGAGAGTATAATACCGAGCACATCTCCTGAACCGCACACCAACCAAATAACTGCTGCAACATATGGGTGCCTGGCAAACCTGAGAATAGTGTTCCGATGCCTCGGTAAGGAATAGTTCAAGACTCTGTACACCGTGTACGTCAAGTGATGTAGTTGAGGCAAGAACCATACTTAGTTTTAAGATGAGGTATGTTAAAGCTCATGGAGCAGGGAGAGAGAGGACCTAGTAGCGATCAGTGAACAGGCGGGACTAGGAGCTATGTATCGACCCCTGCAACCACAAATAGGTGAGTACACACACTCACACACACTCATACACACACGCACGCGCACACACAGACACACACACACACACACACACACACAGGGCGATTTCAACCACAGGGAGATCGACTGGGAAAACCTGGAGCCACATGGGGGTCCCGAAACATGGAGAGCAAAGATGATGGATGTGGTACTTGAAAACCTCATGCATCAACATGTCAGGGACACAACCAGAGAGAGAGGGGAGGATGAGCCAGCAAGACTGGATCTTGTGTTCACCCTGAGCAGTTCAGACATCGAGGACATCACTTACGAGAGGCCCCTTGGAGCTAGCGATCATGTGGTTCTGAGTTTTGACTATATAGTAGAGTTACAAGTGGAGAAGGTAACAGGAACTGAAGGGGACAGGCCAAACTATAAAAGGGGGGACTACACAGGTATGAGAAACTTCCTGCAGGAGGTTCAGTGGGACAGAGAAATGGTAGGAAAATCAGTAAACGAGATGATGGAATATGTGGCAACAAAGTGCAAGGAGGCAGAGGAAAGTTTTGTTCCCAAGGGAAACAGAAATAATAGGAAGACCAAGACGAGTCCTTGGTTTACCCGAAGGTGTAGGGAGGCAAAAGCTAAGTGCAACAGAGAATGGAAAAGGTACAGGAGGCATAGGACCCAGGAAAACAAGGAGATTAGTAGAAGAGCCAGAAACGAGTATGCGCAGATAAGGAGGGAGGCCCAGAGACAGTATGAAAACGACATAGCATCGAAAGTCAAATCTGACCCGAAACTGCTGTATAGCCACATTAGGAAGAAGACAACAGTCAAGGACCAGGTGATAAGGCTGAGGAAAGAAGGTGGGGAACTCACAAAAACGATCAAGAGGTATGTGAGGAGCTCAACACGAGATTTAAGGAAGTATTTACAGTAGAGACAGGAAGGACTCTGGGGGACAGACCAGATGGGGACACCAACAAGGAATACACCAACAAGTGTTGGACGACATACATACAATGAGGAGGAGGTGAAGAAACTGCTAAGGGACATCGATACCTCAAAGGCAATGGGACCGGACAACATCTCTCCATGGGTCCTTAGAGAGGGAGCAGATATGTTGTGCGTACCACTTACCACAATCTTCAACACATCCCTGGAAACTGGGCAACTACCTGAGGTATGGAAGACAGCAAATGTAGTTCCCATTTTCAAAAAAGGAGACAGAAAAGAGGCACTAAACTATAGACCTGTGTCATTGACGTGTATAGTATGCAAAATTATGGAGAAGATTATCAGGAGGAGAGTGGTGGAGCACCTGGAACGGAACAGGAGTATAAATGCCAACCAGCACGGATTCACGGAAGGCAAATCCTGTGTCACAAACCTTCTGGAGTTTTTATGATAAAATAACAGAAGTAAGACAAGAGAGAGAGGGTGGGTTGATTGCATCTTCTTGGACTGCAAGAAGGCCTTTGACACAGTTCCTCACAAGAGATTAGTGCAGAAGCTAGAGCATCAGGCGCATATAACAGGAAGGGCACTGCAATGGATCAGAGAATACCTGACAGGGAGGCAACAACGAGTCATGGTACGTAATGATGTATCACAGTGGGCACCTGTGACGAGCGGGGTCCCACAGGGGTCGGTCCTAGGACCAGTGCTATTTTTGGTATATGTGAACGACATGACGGAAGGGTTAGACTCAGAAGTGTCCCTGTTTGCAGATGATGTGAAGTTAATGAGGAGAATTAAATCTGATGAGGACCAGGCAGGACTTCAAAGAGACCTGGACAGACTGGACACCTGGTCCAGCAAATGGCTTCTCGAATTTAATCCTGCCAAATGCAAAGTCATGAAGATAGGGGAAGGGCACAGAAGACCACAGACAGAGTATAGGCTAGGTGGCCAAAGACTGCAAACCTCACTCAAGGAGAAAGATCTTGGGGTGAGTATAACACCGAGCATGTCTCCGGAAGCACACATCAATCAGATAACTGCTGCAGCATATGGGCGCCTGGCAAACCTGAGAACAGCATTCCGACACCTTAGTAAGGAATCATTCAAGACACTGTACACCGTGTATGTCAGGCCCATACTGGAGTATGCAGCACCTGTTTGGAACCCGCACTTGATAAAGCACGTCAAGAAACTAGAGAAAGTACAAAGGTTTGCAACAAGGTTAGTTCCAGAGCTAAGGGGAATGTCCTATGAAGAAAGATTAAGGGAAATCGGCCTGACGACACTGGAGGACAGGAGGGTCAGGGGAGACATGATAACGACATATAAAATACTGCGTGGAATAGACAAGGTGGACAAGGACAGGATGTTCCAGGGAGGGGACACAGAAACAAGAGGCCACAATTGGAAGTTGAAGACACAAATGAATCAGAGAGATAGTAGGAAGTATTTCTTCAGTCATAGAGTTGTAAGGCAGTGGAATAGCCTAGAAAATGACGTAGTGGAGGCAGGAACCATACACAGTTTTAAGACGAGGTTTGATAAAGCTCATGGAGCGGGGAGAGAGAGGGTCTAGTAGCAACCGGTGAAGAGGCGGGGCCAGGAGCTAGGACTCGACCCCTGCAACCACAAATAGGTGAGTACAAATAGGTGAGTACAGACACACAGACACACACACACACACACACACACACACACACACACACACACACACACACACACACACACACACACACACACACACACACACACACACACACACACGCCTGCACACAAACGCGGGCACACAGACAGTAAAGAGGCTGGGCCAGGATTTGTGAATCGACCCCTGCAACCGCAACTAGGTGAGTACACACACACACACCTTTGGAAGTACAGTAGGAGGGTGAACCAGGCAGTGAAGACTGAGAGGGAGGCTGAGTTGAACTGCTGCGCCCTCCAGGTGGTTCCCAGGAACACAGGCAGTACCATACACACAGAAGTCAGATACAGAGTCCATTCCACAACGTTGATTGGATCTCCCAGGTACTGCAAAAGGGCATAATGTACTTACATAGTTCATTATAGTTGTTGTGGGATCAGTAAATTTGTACGTAGCTCATTAGTAATACGGCTTATTAGTGTAATATTTTGACTACCACCTTCAGGATGGGTATGGAGTGCATAATAAAACTGTTAAACTAAACTTAGTGATTAATGTGACACAAACTAATAAATATGAAAGCTAATAAGATAACTGAATATCTTTGTGTGTAACTGAGACCCATATCAGCAAAGTTAGTCACGTGATTCTCTCCGTGGTTTATAAAATGATGTCGTAAGAAAAAAGTAGGATGGTTACTGTCCTAGAGTAAGTTTAATGTGTTAACTATCTCGCAGTTACTCACTTAGCAATTTACTCGTCTGGTAATATGTTAAAGTTCGGAATATTATCTCCAAATTTAGATTAAAATATTTAATTTTTTTTACAACTACAGATTTGGGAGTAATAAAGGTTAAATTCGTGATGCTTCTTCTTCATTGGTTTCACGTAAGGCAAAGTTTTCCTGTATGTATATGTATATGTATGTATATGTATATGTATGTATATGTATATGTATGTATATGTATATGTATGTATATGTATGTATATGTATATGTATGTATATGTATATGTATGTATATGTATATGTATGTATGTGATTAACGTTTCTTGCTCAACAGTCCTAGTTTTCAGGTTCTAACGTGTTTGCCCAATGAAAGCCATATTACGTTCATTGACAATGTATTTTCTACTGTTGTTTCCCTTTATAGTATTCTTTCGTCCTGGTCCCTCCCGTACCTAACAGTCTGTCTCTGTCACAGAATAGTTTGTATGACATAATTAGGTCTCCTGTTGCTCCACCTTCTTCTGTAGATGCGCGTGTGCGTTTATTCATATATATGTGCGTTCGCCTGTGTGTGAGTGCGTGTACATGAGAGTGCGTGGGCTCACCTTGAGGCCTTGATGGTAGAATTGGAGTACCTCCTTCACCATTCCCAGGCAAGCGAACACCATGATGGCCATCCCGAGGCAGTACATCCATCCCGTGTTCTCCGACACCTGGCACAAAGTCAACCTTGAATCAGTTACATAACATCATTCTACTTGCTACTCTGTTTTTCCTTTGTTTTCCAAAATTTCAAGATATTTTACAGAGCTGTGAGATTTAATTAAGATGGACGGTGTTGTTCGCAGTTCTCTCGGTGATTTTTAAAAGTGCTGGTTTGCATTATCTCAGTATAATAGCATAAGCAATCCCACAAGGAGACAATAAAAAAGAGAATAACAGGAAAGTGTTTATTTCAGCCTTACATTGAAGCCTTTTTCAATATAGTTTGAGACCAAAATAAACAACTCTTAAAGTTTTCTGTTTTATGGTCTTCATGTGCGCTAGTTTGAGACATTACAGAAAATGTAATTATGTGAAGGAAGTCTTCCCGGTCTTCCTCTTTTCATTCTTTTTTTTCTTTCCCTCCCTCCCTCTTCTGAAGTAGCCCGCATTACGTATTTTCTCTCACACACCTTGTAAACATAGCGATCAAAGTCGTCAGTGGTGTTGCTGTAGTCGAAGTGCTGCGAGGCGTTGACGAAGGCAGAGACAAGGCTGTTGTTTCCCAGGACACCGACAGCAAAGACGGTCACCAGGAAGAGATATACCAGGTAAACAAACAGGTTAGAGAGGTGGATGTACCTGCCGTATGCCTGCCACTTCATCTCCAGGAAGGTCTGCGTCAATGGGTGCATCAGGAGTTCCACCCGGCCACTCTCCACCATGGCCTGAGGGAGGAAAGTGTATCCTGTAGGCTTTGTGTCAGAGCATTCCGCTAGGAACCCAGAGGACCCAGGGTCCTCTGAGCGGGGTGGCACATGTAGCCAAGTCTCCATACACCTGCTGCCTCTGTTTTACCTAGTAGTAAATAGGTATTAAAAACTTAGTCGTCTGCTGTGGGTTGCGTCACAGGGGAAAAGGAATCAAAGCGGAATATCTTTTGCTAGTTAGTTTGTTGGGTTATCAATAGAGGAAGAAACTCATACAAAATGATCCCAAGTAAGCGACGACTCCTCTTCCAGGATATTAATGATCTGATGAGTCAGAAAGAATGACAGGGCAGGCAGGCAAGGGCAGGCACCTTACATGCCTTACACACCAACCACCTCAAGCTGACCATATCATGAGGAGCCAGTCTATCAGCATCCTGTCGGCCAACATTAGAGGTTTCATTACTAATGTTGGAGAGCTCGCACATAGTTTTGTGAACACTCGACGTCCCGACATGATAGCTGTTGTTGAAACATTTTTGGACGACAGGACTCCAGAAAATTTTGCAAGAATTGCTGGCTACACCTCATGGATAAGAGGAGACAGACAAGGGCAAGGAGGAGGTGTTGCTGTGTGCTTCTCTAAAAGTGTTCATGCCCAGCACAGTGATGTTGCCACCCCTACTCATCTTGAAATGATGCTCTTCAAGCTCTTCATAAATACTAGTACCTCTGTACTAGCATGTGCAATGTACATATCTCAGTGGCAACATGCAGACCCCATCAACTTCCTAATGGAAAATATGGACTCCCTTCTGCTACAACACAACTGTCAACATATCATAATTGTTCGTGACCTCAACCAACACCTTATACAGAGGGACTTTGACGACCTTCTTGCAGTATTTGACATGAGAAACTTTGTTGATTTCCCTACTCACATCTCTGGCTCCTCCCTTGACCCAGTAGTGAGTGATCTGGCAGAAGATGTAATCACTTGTCAACCCCTCAGCTACGTTGGATCATCTGACCACAAGGCTGTTTTTACGACACTTAAGATCCCAACAGAACGAGGTGAGGAGTCCACACGCACAACCTGGCTATGGGAAAGAGGTAATTGGCCAGCCCTTTGTTCTGAGCTCGCCACCACCGATTGGAATGCTCTTCTCCAAGAGAATGTTGACAACCAAGTGAAAGCCTTCACTGGACACATCCTTAATCTACAACAAGAACACATTCCTCACCGGCAATATGTGACGAAGCCTACAGATCAGCCTTGGTTTGGCTTTCGTTGTAGAGAGGCTGCTACTACTAAGTACAAAGCATGGCGAACGTATAAGAGACATCCTACCACTTATAACAAGAACTTGCACAGGCAAGCCTGTAGGCATATGGGTGACATTCAAAGGTGGGCCATTGCTAAATGGGAGGTGGACACAAAAAGAAAGCTAGCAACAGGTAGGGTGGGCTCCAAAACCTGGTGGTCGCTGGTCAAGGACAGACAAGGTTATCTGCCTGATGAACTCATTCCACCTCCAAATTAACAGGATGGGATCACCTCTACTAGTAGTCAAGAGAAGGCGGACCTCTTTGCCGAACACTTAGCTATCAAAATGCAAGTTCCTGATCCAGCAAGGGACCCTCCTTGGCTAGCTGCAAGAACTGTGTCAAAACTGTCAGTGGTGACAATAAGGCAGGAGGAAGTGCATTTCCCTCTTAAATAACTTGACCAAGAAGAGGCTGTGGGCCCAGACAAGTTGAGCCCAAGATTGCTGAGATGTGCAGACCAGCTAGCAGTACCTCTAACTTGCATCTTTCAGCACTGCCTAGTACAGTGTAAATGGCCCTCCCTGTGGAAAGAGGCAAATGTAGTCCATGTTCACAAAAAGAAGAGCAGAGCAGAAATCAGCAACTACAGACCAGTGTCACTCCTGTCAATCACTGGTAAGATCCTTGAGACAATAATCTCAAGACAAATGACAGAGTTTTTTGACTATCACTCACTATTTTGTGACCGTCAATATGGCTTCAGGAAAGGTTACTCTGCTGCTGATCTGTTGTTAAACCTTTCCACTAAGTGGCACCAGTCACTGGATGAATCCAAAGTCAGCTGTGTGGTAGCACTGGACATTGCTGGTGCTTTCGACCGGGTGTGGCACCAGGGCCTCTTAGCAAAACTTCAAGCACCGGGAATTGCAGGCTCTACGCTATGTCTCCTCAGTGATTACCTTCATGGTAGATCTCTAAGGGTAGTTCTCAGTGGAACGAAATCAGCAAAACATCATATTGGGGCAAGCGTTCCACAAGGAAACGTACTGGGACCATTGTTATGGAATGTCTACTTCAATGACCTTCTTCATCTCATCCCAGAATCCCATGCATATGCAGACGACTGTACACTGACATTCACTTATCCAAGAGAAGAAATGCCAGCTGCTCTAAGCTACATCAATCACCAGCTAAGAGCTATATCAGCTTGGGGAAATAGATGGCAAGTAACATAAGCACCTGAGAAAACGCAAATGATGATGGTCTCTAGGCACCATGATGGTAATGCTGGTGCAGTAGTAAGGATGAATGGGAGGGTGTTGGCACCTGGAGAAGAAGTTGATATCCTTGGGATGAAATTTGATTCCAAAGTGACTATGAAGACCCATGTTGTAAATCTTGCAAACAAGGCAGCCAGGAAGCTTACAGCACTTCGCCGTATCTCGCATCTGCTTGACAGTAGGGGTTGCAATATTCTGTACGAGGCACAAGTACGCTCACACCTTGAGTATGCTCCACTTTCTTGGTTTGCCTGCCCCCCCTCTCATCTGCGACTGCTTGACAGAGTAGAGAACAGAGCAAGACGTCTCATCTCTCGCCTGGACCCATCCTGGATAGATCTGTCATTTCAGCAGAGCCTTCAACATAGGAGGGATGTGGGTGGCCTTACTGTTATGTACAATGCCAAAATTGTCAAAGTACCACACTTGGATCCACTTCGAGGACAGCGTGAAACAACTTTTATGCCACAAGACGGGCAGAAAGCGGCAACTTCACTCTGGCTGTACCCTTCTCCAGAACATCACTCCATCTGAGATCATATATACCCAGGATGACTCGAGTATGGAACACATTCGTACAGCATAATGATGTCAACGAGATAAAGTCAGTTGATCAAATGAAAATGCTGGCCCACAGATGGCTCCAACTTCATCCTGTTCCCTACTTGTATGTCTCATAACAATAAAAATGCTTTCAAATGAGCTGATGTAGGTAACAGCTCTTAGCTTGCCAATAAAGTTAGGAATCCTTAACCTGTAAATAGCTTGTCAATAAACCTAGGGATCCTTAACCTTGTCAAACCCTGAGAGAGAGAGAGAGAGAGAGAGAGAGAGAGAGAGAGAGAGAGAGAGAGAGAGAGAGAGAGAGAGGAGAGAGAGAGGAGACAGAGACAGAGAGAGAGAGAGAGAAAGAGAGAGAGAGAGAGAGAGAAGAGAGAGAGAGAGAGAGAGAGAGAGAGAGAGAGAGACAGAGAGAGAGACGAGAGAGAGAGAGAGAGAGAGAGAGAGAGAGAGAGAGAGAGAGAGAGAGAGGCCGACCATTACTTCTCTGTACGTTCGATTACCCTGGCTTAGGTTAATTTGGATTATTATGTTGCATTTTTTATGGTTTCGACTATTATTTTATTTCACACAAAGTTTTCATTATGATCATTCTTATTACATTTTAATATACACATATTATATTACATAAACGTCTCCTTGCTACACAGTATCATGTACAGTTCTGACAGTACTAAGGAGAAGACATACATTACAAGCGTAGAGAGGTTCCGGCCGAAACTTGGGGTTGTTCAACTTGATCCTCTCAGACTGCAGTTGCTCCTCATTCAGCTGTAGAGGATAGAAGCTGTATCGTACCTGTTGAGGAAGCATATTAAAGATAGTATGTTGTGAACGCTCTGTGTAGGGATGACGTGTTTCATTTAGACGTACAGGTATTCTTAAATGAGGGGGATTTGGGGGTCAACGCCCCCGCGGGCTGGTTCATGTCCAGGCCTCGCAGTGGATCAGGGTCTGATCAACCAGGCTATTACTGCTAGCTGCACGTAAACCGACGTACAAACCAGTCCGTCTGGTCAGGTTCTGACATTATGTGCCTGTCTAGCTCCTAGAAGACAGCCAATGGTTTATTGGTAATCCCCCTTATGTGTGCTGGGAGGCAGTTGAACAGTTTTGGGCCCTTGACATTTACTGTGTTGTCTCTTAGTGTACTCGTGGCGCCTCTGCTTTTTATTTGTGGGATGTTGCATCTCGTGTCGAGTCTTTTGCTGTCGTAGTGAGTGACTTTTCGTGTGCAGATTTGTGACTAGTCTTTCTAGGATTTTCTGAGTGTATATTATCGTGTATCTTTCTCGCCTGCGTTCCAGGGAGTATAACTGAAGGGACTTCAACTGTTTCCAGTAATTTAGGCGCTTTATCATACTTATACGTGCCGTGAAAGTTCTCCGTATATTCTCATGGTCTGCAATTTCGTTTGCCTTGAAAGGAGCCGTTAGTGTAGAGCAGTATTCCAGCCTAGAGAGAACAAGCGATTTGAAGAGAATAATCATGGGCTTGTCATCTCTAGTTTTGAAGGTTCTCATTATCCATCCAATCATTTATCTAGCAGATGTGGTGGATACATTGTTGTGATCTTTGAAAGTGAGATTCTCTGACATTATCACTCCCAGGTCCTCCACATTTGCTTTTCGCTCTATTGCATGACTGGAATTTATTTTATACTCTGATACAGTTTTTATTTCCTTGAGTTTTCCGTAACGGAGTAACTGAAGTTTATTTTCATTGAACTTCATATTTTCTGCGGCCCATTTAAAGATTTGGCTGATGTCCGCTTGGTGATTTGCAGTGTCTTGGATGGATGACACTGTCATGCAGATTCGCGTATCAACAAAGGAGGACACGTTGCTGTGACTTATATCTCTGTCAGATATGAGGATGAGGAACAGGATGGGAGCGAGTACCGTGCCTTGTGGAACAGAGCTTTTCACTATAGCCGCCTCAGACTTGACTCTGTCTACTATTGCTCTTTGTGTTCTGTTTGTTAGGAAGTTAGAGATTCATCTACCCACTTTCCTGTTATTTCTTTATCACGCAATTTGTGTGCTATTACACCATAATCGCACTTGCTGAAGGCTTTCTCAAACTCTGTATATTATATCTGCATTTTGTTTCTCCTCCAGAGCATCCATTATGATGTCATAGTGGTCCAGTAGTTGTGAGGGGCAGGAGCGACCTGCTCTAAACCCGTGCTGACCTGGGCTGTACAACTGTTGGGTATCTAAGTGGGTGGCGATCTTG